TTTTTTTCAATGTTTTTATTTATTTTTGGGACAGAGAACAGAGCATGAGCAGGGAGGGGCAGAGAGAGAGGAGACACAGAGATGAAACAGGCTCAGGCTCCGAGCCATCCAGCCCAAACCTTGACAGCAGGGGCTCGAACTCAGGACTTCCATGAGATCGATGACCTGGCTGGTCGGACGCTTAACCCAGGCCACCCAGAAACCCTATGTGTATGTATTTTTAAGTAGCTCATACCTGAAGAGCCATAGTAAGGGCTTAAATACAACCCTAAGATCCAAAACATGAGTTGAGATTGAGAGTCAGACATAACCAGCAACTAAACCACCCAGGCAACCCCTTAGCAATTTATTCTTTTTTTCTTTTAGTTTATTTTTGAGAGAGAAAGCTGACTTAGCATGCATGCAGTGGAGTGAGGCACAGAGAGAGGAGACACAGGCAAGCAGGCTCCAGGCTCTGAGCAGTCAGCTGAGCCCCGGCCTTGGAGCTTGAATCCTGAACCGTGGATAAACCCAAACCTGAGCAGTAGGACGTAACCCAGAGCTAGACCACCCAGGTGCTAACATTTCCATTCTTAAGTAATCTCTATACCCAATACAGATTCTCAAACCCCACAAGCCTGAGATCAAGGGTTGCATGCTCTGCAGATAAGGCCAGCCAGGTGCCAAAAACCTCCTCTTTCCTTACTAGAGCTCACATATATTCAACTAGGGAAAGAAACAGTAAAGTAAAATAAATTAATTAAAAGAAAACATAGGTTAAAGTTCTATAAGTAGAACAGAATAAGGAAAGGATGAGGAATGTGTACTGGTGGGGAGGACTACATTTTTTTTTTAAAGAGGGCTGTGAGTTGAGTAGGCCACCCACTGAAAGTGATAGTTGAACAAGACCACAAATGTGGAAGAAAGGAGTCAGGCAGATCTCTGGGGAAAGAGTGTGCACATGCTGGAAAGGGTGAAATACAAAGGTCTAATATGGGGGCATGCAAAATGGAGTTCAAAACAGGATCCATTGGTGCAATGTACGAGTAGAAGAGTGGTGGTAAAGTGAAATTATTATGGGCTGTTGTCTGGGTAGAGCCTTGAGACAGATGTCCTTTCTTAAACACTGGCTTTAACATGAGGTGAAATGATTACAAGTCAGAAAACAAATGAGAAAAAATAAAAATGAAATACAAATTTTAAAGGTAATTCTATAATTGAGAAGAAAGACTTTATTTTTTTTGCCTTACAAAAATTTTTATTTATTTTGAGAAGAGACAGAGCAAGCAGAAGGGCAGAGGAGACTGTCAGAAGCAGGCTCCAGGCTCTGAGCTGTCAGCACAGAGTCTGACAGAGCTGACTCACGCAGACAACCTGAGACCATGACCTGGGCAGTTGGACCTGTTGACTGAGGTGCCAAGCCTGAAGGGGAGACTTTAGGGAGAGTGGTGGGCAGAGGAGAGCCAGACGGGAAGGTGTTTATTTATCTTTATTTATTTTGAGAGTGAGTGGCGAGCAGGAGATGAGGGGAGAGGCAGAGAGAGGGGGGAGAGAGAATCCCAGAGCGACCGTTGCCTGGCAAAAGCCTGACAGGGCTCAATCCACAACCCATGAGATGACCTGTGAGCTGAAATCAAGAGTTGAAAGCTTAAGCAGCGAGAGCCACCCAGATGCAGATAGGGAGATTTTAAAAATAAACTATGCAAGGGGCATGGCTAGAATTAAAAAAAAAAAAAATACATACATATAGGGGCACCTGGGTGTCTTAGTTGAGGGTCCAACTTTGGCCCAGGCCGTGATCTCACAGTTGGTGAGTTCGAACACCACATTGGGCTCGATGCTATCAGCACAGAGCCCACCTCACATCCTCTTTCCCCCTCTCTGCCTCTGCCCATCCCCACTGGATTGTTTGCTCTCTCTCTCTCAAAAAAAAAAAAAATTTAAAAAACAAATACATACATACAAAAAACAGTGTTGGCATGCCTGGCAGGCTTAGTTGGTAGAGCGTGTTGTGAGTTTGAGCCCCATGTTGGTTGTAGAGATTACTTAAAAGTAAAATCTTAAGGGGGTCCTGGGTGGCTCAGTTGGTTCAGCATCCCAACTTCTGCTCAGGTCATGATCTCACAGTTTGGGAGTTCGAGCCCTATGTTGGGGTTTATGTGGATAGCACAGAGGCTGCTTTGGATTCTGTCTCCCTCCCTTTCTGTCCCTCCCCCTCTAGCGCTCACTCGTGCTCTCTCTCTCTCAGAGATAAACATTGAAAAAAATTTTAAATATAAAATCTTAAAAGGGGACCTTGGGTGGCTATGTTAGTTAAGCATCTGACTCTTAATTTCGGCTCATGTCATGATCTCACAGTTTATGGGTTTGAGTCCCACGCTGGGCTCTGCACTGACAGCACAGAGCCTGTTTAGAGTTCTCTCTCTGCCCCTTCGCTGTGTGCGTGTGTGTGCTCTCTCTCTCAAAATAAATAAACTTTAGGGGTGCCTAGATGGCTCAGTCTGTTGAGCATCCAACTTTGGCTCAGGTCATGGTCTCATGGTTTGTGGTTTCAAGCCCCACATCAGTCTCTTGTCAGCAGGGAGCCCGCTTCAGATCATCTGTCCTTCCCCTCTCTCTGCCCCTCCCCCACTCACACACACTCTCAAAAATAAATCTTTAAAAATAAAATAAACTTTTAAAAAAATCTTCAAAAATTTTTTAAATAAAATCTTAAAAAAAAAATAGACGAGGGGCGCCTGGGTGGCGCAGTCGGTTGAGCGTCCGACTTCAGCCAGGTCACGATCTCGCGGTCCGTGAGTTCGAGCCCCGCGTCAGGCTCTGGGCTGATGGCTCGGAGCCTGGAGCCCGTTTCTGATTCTGTGTCTCCCTCTCTCTCTGCCCCTCCCCCATTCATGCTCTGTCTCTCTCTGTCCCAAAAATAAATAAACGTTGAAAAAAAAAAATTAAAAAAAAAAATAGACGAGCAGTTTTTGTCTCCTCTTTTCTGATGTTTATTTCAAGTTCCTGGAATAGTCTCAACATCCAAATAGTCTCTAGTAGATATTTGTTGAATGAATATCATTAACTGCAAAGCCAAATAGGGTGATGGGATTATCGTTCTTTTTTGGTTTTCTTTGTATTTCCAATTGCTGCTTGTTTATGATATCAGGTTTTTTTCCCTTATACTATATTTCATTAACCTATCAAGTAACCTATTGGGAGACTACTCTTTTTCCAGTGGTAAAGTAGAATTGGTAATTTTTTTAAAAATGAAAATCCAATGTCATTTAATGTCTAAAATGGTGTTAAATCTTAGTAATCAGCATATAACAATAAGATCTATTTTTTCCTATCAATTTGATGAAATTAAGTTTTTAATAAAAGGTCATATTAACCAGGGTAAAGAGAAGAGTTGTTTCATCACTCTTGGGGTCAGTTTAAATTGTTGCACTTTTTCTGGACAGAAATTTGATGGTATCTGTCAACTGTGTCCTTTAAAATACCAACACACTGTGGTGCCTGGCTTGCTCTGTTGGTTAAGTGTCCCAACTCTTTTTTTATGTTTATTTTTGTGATGGAGCCAGTGGGGAAGCAGAGAGGGGGGGACAGAGGATCCAAAGTGGGCTCTCACCTGACAGCAGCAAGCCCGATGTGGGGCTCGAACTCATGAACTGTAAGATCATGAACAGCCAGAGTCGGACACAACCGACTGAGCCACTCAGGTGCCCCTCTTTTTTTTTTTTTTTTAATTTTTTTTTTTTTTTAACATTTATTTATTTTTGGGACAGAGAGAGACAGAGCATGAACGGGGGAGGGGCAGAGAGAGAGGGAGACACAGAATCGGAAACAGGCTCCAGGCTCTGAGCCATCAGCCCAGAGCCCGACGCGGGGCTCGAACTCACGGACCGCGAGATCGTGACCTGGCTGAAGTCGGACGCTTAACCGACTGCGCCACCCAGGCGCCCCATCAGGTGCCCCTCTTTAAAGTTATTTTTAAAAATCTAAGTTCCAGGAGAGTCAAAGTTTTCAAAGTGACAGCTTTCAAGTTAAATACTCAAATAAGGTGGATCATGTCTATAAAATATTAAGGAAGGGAATTTAACATTTGTGTAGTATATGATATACTCTTGATAAAAATTATTTGTAATTATAGTTCTACTCAGAGGGTATTTTCTGTATTTTATGATGGAGGAAACTGAAGCTCTTAGCAGTAAATTAGTTTACCCTATAAAGTAATAAACCTAATAAAGCAGCTGAACTGCTCTGTACTATAGTATGGTTCCAAGGACACATTTGTTTTTAAACAGTTCGTTGAGGTGCTAATACATACTACAAAACTCATTTTAAATGTGCAATTTAGGGGCGCCTGGGTGGCTCAGTTGGTTAAGCGTCCGACTTCGGCTCAGGTCGTGATCTCGCGGTTTGTGGGTTCGAGTCCTGCATCGGGCTCTGGGCTGACAGCTCAGAGCCTGGAGCCTGTTTCAGATTCTGTGTCTCCCTCTCTCTCTGCCTTTCCCCTGCTCATGCTCTGTCTCTCTCTGTCTCAAAAATAAATAAATGTTAAAAAAAAAAATTTTTTTTTAAATGTGCAATTTAATCATTCTTAGTAACTTTTTTTGAAACCATCACCACAGTCCAGTTTTAGACCTTTTGCCTATTTATGTTTTACAATAATGGCTTTGTTGAGATATAATTCACATACTATGTAATTCCTTCATTTAAAATTTGGAGTACAGTTCGGGTGCCTGGCTGGTTCAGTCATGAGCATGCAGCTCTTGATCTTGGGGTCATGAGTTTGAGCCCCAGGTTGAGTGTAGAGATCATTTAAAAATAAATAAATAAAGTTTTTTTAAAGAGTGTGCAATTCAGGGGCACCTGGCTGCCTAAGTTGATGAAGCATGTGACTCTTGATCTTGGGATTGTGGTTTCAGACCCCATAGTTGGGTATGGAGATTTTTAAAAATAAAATCTTTTTAAAAAAATTAAAATGGAATGAGTGCCCAGGTGGCTCAGTCCATTGAGCATCCAGCTTGATTTCCTTTTAGGTCATGAACCCTGCATCAGGCTCTGTCCTGGTCATGGAGCCTGCTTGAGATTGTCACTCTTCCTCTGCCCCTCTCCCCAGCTCATGCTTGCTTGCTCTCTCTCTCTCTCTCTCTCTAAAAAATTAAAAATTAAAAAAAGAAATCTTTTAAAATAAAAAGAATGATTTATCCAAGTTCCCATCTTTTACTGTGGAATAGATATGTAAATGTCAGCAAATTCTGGATATTAATACTGTTAGGTCTTCTAAAATTATCTTAACATCTCAGATGCTCACGTTTTATTTTGCAATAATCTGTTTGCAGTTAGTTTTATTGTGTTGAATATTTTTCCTTTTAATTCTTAGAAAATATATTTCGCTTTGTTTAAATTTATGTTATAATTTCTAATTTTATATATAAAACATTCATTTTTTGAACTATGTCCTCCAAATTTTTATGGAACAAAGTTAATTGATTTAATAAAGTTAGATTTTTCCTCCTTCTAGCCTCTTTATACATTTCTTCTTATTATTCTTTATAGTTTTTTTTTTTCTTTTAATGTTTTAGGTAATTTCTACACCCAACATGGGGCTTAAACTTACAACCCTGAGATCAAGAGTCACGTACTCCACTGACTGAGCTAGCCAGGCACCCATTTTTCTTCATAATTCTTTCCTATGAATTCCAAACCATTTTTATTCATATAATTTTTTTTGCCCTTATGTCTTTTGAAAGTAAGTAATAGAAAACTATCTTTGGCCTCTGTAATAGTTGGAAATATCTGTATTAATGAGTATTTTGCTGTTGTTCTGATTTTATAGATAGGGATGAGGAAGAAATAAACAAACGAGATGACAAAAGAGATGTCAACAGGTACTGCAAGGAGAGACCCTCTAAAGATAAGGTATTTATTGGATACTGTGTTCTTTATAATATAATAATTTCCATTACTCACATAATCCAAACTTAAGCATAACACATGAAGTTTATTCATCCTTGTATATGTATATATTACCACTTGGAGCAAAATTCAGCCAGTTGTATTTTGGTATTTATGTTTATGTCAGGTAAACTGGTATGTCTTATTCCTTTCTCCCATACACATAAACCAGATCAACTCATTTTAACTTCTAACATGAGACAAAGGTCTTTTCAGATTTTGGCTATTATATAGACAAACTCTCAGTTTCTTACTTTTCACTGTTATCTTCTGCATTTTCTTTAGGAAAAAGAAAAGACTCAGATGATCACAATTAACAGGGATTTGTTAATGGCATTTGTTTATTTTGATCAAAGCCATTGTGGTTACCTTCTTGAAAAGGATTTGGAAGAAATACTTTATACTCTTGGACTACATCTTTCTCGGGCTCAGGTAATCTGTCTTGTGAATATTTAAAATGAAAAGCCATTTTAAGTAATAACAGTCAAGAAATATTGAAATGTGTGAAGTAAAAAAAAGCTTTTTCTACACCTCTGGCCTCATATATAGTTCTCTGGATCTTTTTGTAAGCAACTTGTATACATGTACATACGATCTGTGTGTACACAGATACAACACATGAAACCATTTTATACATTATTGATAGACAGCTCTTCTCTTCTCTTCTCTTCTCTTCTCTTCTCTTCTCTTCTCTTCTCTTCTCTTCTCTTCTCTTCTCTTCTGTTCAGATTTTAACTAACCTCTGCACCCACCATGGGTTTGAGCTTACAACCTGAGGTCAAGAGTTCCATGATCTACCAGCTGAGCCAGCCAGGTGCCCCTGGACAGCTTTTTTCGTTTAACGATGTATAGTGGCCATTCTGCCACGAAAATAGAGACCCACTTTGTTTTTGTTTTTGTTTTTGTTTTTTTTTAAAGAGTGTGTGTGAGCAGGGGGTTGGGGGTATGGAGAGAGAATATCATAAGCAGGCTCCATGCTCAGTGCAGAAACCAACACAGGTCATGATCCCAAGACCCTGGGATCATGACCTGAGCCAGACTCAGAAGTCTGACACTCAGCTGACTGAGCCACCCAGGCACACACAATTACCCCACTTTTTTCTTTTTATGATTGCATAGCATCGTGTAACATAGATGTACTATAATTTCCTTTAAGTAGTCTCTGTTGTTAGGCGGTTTCCATGTTTTAGAATTACAGGCTATATGCTGTCATATCTTTGTACATATACCTTAATATATGTGTTAGTGTTTCTATCAGTGTTATACTTTTTCTTTTTTAACAAATTTTTTTCAAAAGATTATTTGAATTTTAGGTTTATGGGGAAGACAGTTATAAAAAAAAGCAGAAGTGTTTCAAAGGGAGAGGTACTAAGAACACAAATGCCATTGATGTTCCTCATATGTGAAAATAACACAATTAAGGAAATCAAAAACATATTCTTTTTAACTTGTTTACTTGCTTGAATAACAGGTAAAGAAACTTCTGAATAAAGTAGTACTCCGTGAATCTTGCTTTTACCGGAAATTAACAGACACTTCAAAAGATGAAGAAAACCATGAAGAGTCTGAAGCATTGCAGGAAGATATGCTAGGTTTGAGTGTATTATTTTACGATTATGTCATTTTATAATTATGTTATTAAAGAAAAAATAATGATAAAAAAATTTTTTTAATAGGAAACAGGTTGTTACTTCCAACACCAACAGTAAAACAGGAACCAAAGGATGTGGAAGAAAATGTTGGTCTTATCGTGTACAATGGTGCAATGGTAGATGTAGGAAGCCTCTTGCAAAAATTGGAAAAAAGTGAAAAAGTAAGAGCTGAAGTAGAACAGAAGCTGCAATTGCTAGAAGAAAAAACGGGTAAGGAACAGCATTGGATATTTTGGTACTTTTAACACCCTGTTGGGATTTATGCGTGTACTCATATGTATACATACTTACATACACCTGCATATCCATCCTTTGCCTTGTAGAGTAGGCACATAATGTAACTTACTTTTGACCACTTCAATAAAAACTACAACATTGCTTAGCTGTAGAAGAATCTTTGATTTTTCACGTGCATTCTTAGATTCCTTTATTGTTCTGTTGAATCTTTTAAGACTTTATTTTTGGGGCGCCTGGGTGGCTCACTTGGTTAAGTGTCCGATTTCAGCTCAGGTCATGATCTTGCAGTTCTTGAGTTCAAGCTCCACATCAGGCTCTGTGCTGACAGCTCAGAGCCTGGAGAGACTTTATTTTTTATTTTTTTTTAATGTTTATTTGTTTTTGAGAGACAGCACAAGCAGGGGAGGGGCAGAAAGAGAGAGAGAGGGAGACAGAATCATTGGATGCTTAACCCAACTGAACCTCCCAGGTGCCCCTTAACCCTTAAGACTTTATTTTTAAACAGTCTTTCTCTACACAGCGTGGAGCTTAAATTTAAAACCCCAAGATTAAGGGTTGTCTGTCCCACCAACTGAGCCAGGCAGGCATCCCTATTCTGTTGCATCTTTTATTTATTTGTTTGTTTATTTAAATGTTTATTTATTTTGAGAGAGAGAGAGCACATGCAAGCAGGGGAGGGTCAGGGAGAATCCTAAGCAGTCTCCATGCTGTCAGCATGGAGCCTAATGTGGGGCTTGATCTCACTAACAGTGAGATCATGACGTTAGCTGAAATCAAGAGTTGAATGCTTAACCAACTGAGCCACCCAGGCATATCTATCTATCTATCTATCTATCTATCTATCTATCTATCTATCTATC